AATCCCATCTGAGCTATTTCAAAGCCAAGTTACTGACAGAGGCTGAGACGTTTAAGTGTATGTTACCTCCAAGATCTCAGGCATTTTTTCAGCCCTACGGATTCACTGTGAGAAAAGCTGCATCCACTCTAAGGAAAAAAAGGGCACCACCAGGCGAGCAAGCTTAAAGAAGAAAAATGGTGCCCCAAACTCCTGTACCACATGAGGGCAACATCATTAATTACAATAAAAGGATGTGGTATTTGACAGCACTATGAAGCTCTCATTAGAGTATATTAGCTGTCATTCTGATTAATAAGGTGGGGAGAAGCAGAAATCTTTGCATCTTTTGTTTAGTACAACACATTTGTACGCTTCAAATACCTTTGTAACAACTGCTGAGCTATGAAAATGCTAATCAGACTGCCCAACAGAAGTCCATCCAATATTTCTAGGGAGATGAATTACATTCACTTCTAAATCTTATGAATCAACTAGATTTGACTGAAGACAATGACAATGTTTCTGGTACTGGCCTAGTTTAACCAACATGAAATTAGCACCCTGGGACAGACGCCTTGATGAAAAGCATAGAAAAATGAAATGAAGCACCACAATGCACTGTAATACCTGCTATATGCAGAAGTCCAACAGGTTTCAGAAAATCCATGCATTTATGAAAGAAAAAAAATCTAGAAACATTCTGATAGTTTCATAGAAGTAACTTGCTCTGAAAAATTAAGGAGATGTCATTTCTGTACAGTCATTATTAAGCTTGCATAACCGATCTTTCCATAGTGTCACTGATTGGGAGGTTAATGGCTAAGGTAAAAAAGAGATTTCCCTTAGCACTCACTGTTCCTTCTGAAGGCTCTGCATTTCTTGCTATTTCATATTCTGTTACATGAGCTCTCTGAACTTACTGAACCATTATTTAACTTCTGCTACAGTTCTTCAAGATATGTTGATTTCTATGAAACTGTGTCCCTACAAGGGACATGGGTTTAATAAAAATCTACTGTTCTTTCTCATATCCTCTGTGTATCTGTATCTACTCAAATTTGAAGGTGCCAGGTTGTGTGTATCTTGATACCCTGAAAGTTTCTGAACAACAGCAGGTTTTTTGTTTGTGTTTTAAGAACTGGTAGGAGATGCTGGGTTTCTTTTGATTTTGTTTTAGGTTCTGCTTAGAGCAGAACCTAGTTGGCAAGGCAGAAAATGTATCTCAGAAGAGAACGAACTCAGCAGATGAATTTGCATTTTTTAGAAAACAAAGAAACAGGTGGAACATTAAGTAGAGAGGTTATTTTCAGATGGTAAGTCATGTAATAGGTTCATAAATTATATCTGTGAAGGACTTTCATATGTAGATTCCTTAGTGCTTTAAGAAATAATTTGAAAAAGGAATTAAAAGGAAATGTGATGCATTTGTGCAACATGTTTGACAAATGAAAGGCCCATATAGATAACTATATTAGGTTGTGCTTAAACTATCCTAGCTGCATGGTCTGTATTTGGGGAAGCTGTCTTCCAGCATTGTCCTACAGTATTCAAAATAGCAGAGAACAGAATAATACAAAAAAATACCTTGACAACTGTGTATTATTAGCCAGTACTTCTGCACTCACTGTGTTCTGAGAGATAACCTCTATAAAGTGTATTTTCATGGTCTTTACCTATTATTTGCCTTTGTCCCAGAGCGTGAGTTTCTACACCTACACCTACGCTGGCACTCTGCAGCTGCTCTTAGAAGCACCTAAAAGTAAACCTAGCTCTTTTCTCCAAGAGTCTATGTAAAAGGCATACACCTAGATGTATCTGTGAAATGCAGTCTGTACACTCTGGGCATGTCAATACATCCAAAAGGCTGGAAATTGTTACCGATACTGTGCTAACACTACTACAGTAAGATTTGGTAAAGCATGAAGTCAAGCACACTTGAAATACCTTCCCTGAGCAAGAAGGAACTCATGCAAGATGATCATTGTGTGTTTAACTGTAACTGTTAGCTCAAGTTATTTCAAGCCAGAATTTGCTTCCATTTAGTTTAGTTCAAAGTCAGTAAATAAAAGCTCAATATGGAAAACAGAGTTGTGTAGATGAAATTATGTTCTTATGCTATCATTGTACAAGACTGAAAAAACCCTCCAGACTAGAAAACCTTTTAGAAGTACATGACAAAAAGCAAGAATGAGTTCATTTGATTTTGATTGTAAATCCCACACCAGGTCACATCTTCCTGATTTACTGCAGCAGCATTTTTGCTTCCTCATCTGAATATAGGAGTCTCACTCCAACAAACCAAATCACCATATGCCTTCATCAAACATTGTTACTCTTCTCATGTTACAGCACGAAGTTGAGCTCTTCATAGCTACTGTGTATATTGCATATATATATATATACGCATAATAGAATTTGGAGAACTTACTTTTAATAATAACCTTTCTATTTTTCTTCTATTACTGTTTTTCTCTTTAAACTTACTGCAAGCTCTAAGCTTTTTGTGAAAAGAGATGAAGAAAATCTGACTCAAAAGAAGTAGCAGGCTGAACAAAAATCTGAGAAATGATGCAGTGAAAAGGATGTGTGGTATAATGATGAAAATAATATACATCTTTATTCTAGACTGTTGTAGCATTTTATAGCAGTTGAAAAACTTTGTCCTCCAAATTTTCAGTTGTCTTTAGTTCATTTCTTGGTTCAAACAAGACTTCTTTCAAAGCTAAATGAGGTTCGATAGGTCTTTAGGAGGACTGGATTTTAGTAGACAAGTTAGAGAAGAGAATAGCAATACTATCATTATTGCTTTCAAAATCAGGCTATAAGCAAGACAGTCACAATGGTGACAGCAATGTCCCTGCTTCCATATGTGTGTGTATTGAAAGGACTGCTTAATACTCAGTTTGAACTGACCTCACAATTTCATGTAATTTCCCACTGGGCTGCAACATAACAGAAGCATGTAGTTGTATCCATTATGGGAGTAGCTGGTTTAAACACAACACAAACAGAAAGCTACTGACTGCATCTACTGCAGTGTTCTGCTTTGTCACTGAAGGTGTCTGGAGGGGGAACATGCCTGCCTCGCTTTAAAGACCAAATAGTAAAACACCCTCAGGTAGGGTATGTGTTTCAGAAGTCAACTGATAATGAAGTGCAGCAAAAATAGTCTTGGAGAGAATATTTATGGTCTGATATTCAAGCATTTGAGATCAGTGCATCTTATCGCACAGACAACATCAAAGTTGTGCACAGAAGTAGTTAAGAGTAAATTAAATTCTGGTAAACAAAGGATCAGCAGACTTGGGTTACTTCTTATGGCTCCTCAGTACACTTATGTTCTTACCATTTGCTGTGCAAAAAGATGCACTGTGGAGGAATAATCTAAAATTGGCACATGCTACTGGATTGCTCCCAGAAGAATATAGGATCTGATTAGCAAAATCAATCAGTGCTTACGGAATTGATGGATTTCAATTAAAATTTATTTTTACTTATCTCTGGTAGCCCATGTGAGATCTCCAATGGAGAGTCCACATTAAGGATGCTTTTAAAGAGGCGTATTTTAAGTTTTTTTCAATAATGTTTATGTAAGAGCTCTGTTATTTCCCTAATGATGGGATAACATATGTTTATTCTATACATAATAATTAATCTCTCCTTTTTAAAGTATACCTTTCAAAAATCTTACAATGAAGTCAAAACCTCTTAGTATTAGAGTTTCTGGAAGTGATAGGTACAATACTTCAGTAAACCAAAAAAACGTTTCATAAGAAAGTCTTTAACAATAAAGGTGAGATCACCTTCACATGGTTTTGATGCTAGTGTAAGTCATAAAGGAGTGACATGTAAGAAATAAGCAGCTGAAATCAAATAAACTCATTCTTACTTTTTGTCATGTAACTCAGAACAAACTCCAGTAGCATATGAGAATCCGCAATGCTGTAGTATAGGAATACCTACACAAATACCTATATATATTGAAACAGTAATTCCATAAAAGCAGAATGTCCATGTTAAGTGAAAAGAATGGAAGACAATCATAAAGTAACTACAGCTATTAAAAAAACAGAGGGATGCACAAAGGTTAAACCAGCTAAGTAGAAAACTACAAATAAAGACTGAGAAACATACAGATATTTTAATAGATTTTTAAAAAAATAAGCAAGGATATGCTGGTCAACAAAAAAAGTATTGACAGGTGTGAGAAGCAATAAATAAATAAATAAATAAGTGTGAAGACAAGACAAAGTGGATAGCAAGGAATAGAAATTAGAAGGTCAAAGGTGCACAGAGGTAGTAAGGAAGGAAAAAGGTGAAATAGTGAAGCGTACCAGAACAGAATAAAGTATAAGGATGTTTTATTTTGAAGTGTATCAGAAGCAAAAGAATCCCAAAGCAATATTGTTTTAGTTGTCCAGAAATAATAGAATAGTCAATAGTAGTGTACAGTAAATGGTTATTTCACTCAATGTTCCTTTTTGGAAAAAAAAAATCAGAGCACAGAAAGATGATAAATCATGTTGCTATTTATAGCTATTTTAAATAGCAAGTTTAAATCAGAAAGTTTGGAAGCACCAAAGAGCTGGAAAGGGAACATGTTAGACTGTACTGTTGATTTTAGCTAGTCTTTGAACATTGGAGAGGTTCCAGAAGACAAAAAGAAAACCCACACAGTGTCAATATTTTGAAAGGGTAAACAGCATTGTCCTAATAATTTCATCTATTTGCCAAGCTTTTATCTAGTGTAAAAGAACTGATACAGGGTTTAAACTAATTATAAATACATTAATTAACTACTATTATATTTAATGGTGGATAATATAAGCTGCTGGAAAAGAGAGCTTGCCAAAGTGCTGCAAATTTTTTTTTCTGGCCACCACTTTGGTTGAAACTAGTATAAACAGGATTCTACAAGACATATAATGTGATACTGAACATTAAAAAAATTAAAATTATTCAAAAGATTAAAAATTTACATGACACATAATACAAAGATTTAAAATAGGGTAATTAGGAGGTCTCAAAAGCTAAGCATATATAAGAAATCAGACACATGCTTAGAAGCAGAGAAATTATATATATGCTTATAGCACATATGAAAAATAAGCCTCTAATCAGGCCTTATACAATTTAGTTCTTGGCCTTAGTATGACTTAATGCTTTTATCAAAGACCCGGAAGAAAACAGTGGAACCTTGAACGTTGCACTTAGAGAAACTCTGGAGTAAGAAGAAATGATGATGAGGGCTGGTCTGGATTGAGTACTAAACCAGTATAGCCAGTGGTAAATAATTCAATAAAGAGACCATAACTATCTTCATATCTGCCCTCGGCCACCAATTCTGAAATAGAGAAGCAGCAGCTCTGAAAGTGGGCTGGGCATCACACAACGATGAACACATTACGTGGCTGTGAAGCTAACAAGTCTCAGTCAGGCTTAATGTATAAAAAAGGGGTAACTGAGTTGGCACTGAATGATACACATTTTCTTGTGCATTTGGCACTGACGCTGCTACTACACAATGTATGCAGTTTGCATACTCCAAGCTCATAAAATGGAAGAAAACATGCAATTCACAGAATGATAGAAGAAGCTTACCTTCATCTATCAAAACGGATTAACTGTTCAGGCTTCATGGCTAGAGTGAAAGACATTAGACAACTAGAGTGCTTTTCATACTAGTAATAAAATCTGTGACACAACCAAATGCCTAGAAATTGAAGCTAGAGAAGCACTGGAAGTTTTTTAATGGCAATGGGTAATTAAAATCACTTGCCCTAAATTTAAATGGATTTTCTGTCACTGGAAACTTTCTAAGAAAGATTGATTGTATTTATGAAAATTATTGTCGAGTTGACAGCAACTGCTGGATTTGAAGGACTCAGGGAGGCCCACAGACTTGGCAAAGCAAGAGGTCAGGCTTGGGAACCACAATCACGTTTCCTCACCTTATAATGTATTAGCCTCACTTAAACATGAAGTTAGCAGAAGTCTTTTAAAGGACAGTAGTGGGGATTTAATCACAGAAGTGAAGACTGCTAGGAGACATTAATTTATTTTCTTTATTATTATTTATCAGGGAGAACAAGAAACATGCCAGGAAGAGAGATAAGGTTTCAGTGGAGAGAAGCAAGTTAAGAACAGAAAAATTACTGGAACGAAGAAGCACCTCAGAACAAGTTTAAAACAAAACTTAGATCATCTGAAAATAGGTAAGAACCCAAGAAGGGATGGCCAGCATCCCAGAATCCTGAGAACAAGGCAGACAGTATTAAAAAAACATAGCTGCAGAACTTTTAACTCCTCACTGATGCCAAGAGAGGTATCTGCTAAGGACCAGAAAGAAAGTGATGTTAGATGTGTGCTTACAGAAACATCTGGGGAAAAAAACCCACCAAAACCTAAATTTTCTAATCAGGAAGAACATAAGACCTGTAAGTTATACACTAGAATAAATAAGCAGGGAAGAGGACAATATTAGCAAACCTGATTAATCCTAGTAAGAGGGTTCAAAAGGTTAAAAGCAGTAATACTGAATATTGGAAAGTATATTGAATTCACTTATTTTGAAAAAGCAGATACAGCAAACAAATACTAATGGTACCAACAGATTACCAAACAGAATTGTAACAATTTGTTGGCTTCCAGCAGAGATGAGAAGATAATGGAAAATGGATGCTGGAATGAGGTAAGGAATAATACAGGAAAGGTAAGTTCTGAGCTCAATCTTGGTTACAATATATCAGCAAGCCAGAACAGGCAGCAATCTGAGTAATAGCGGACCATCACCGAATGTAAGAGAGGAATGATGCTGGATCAAAATAAATCTGAAAAGATATAGAGGTACATAAGAAAACTGATAATATCATGTGTGTAAAATATTAAAACTAGTGATAAATGGATTAAAACCAAGATGAGGCTACATTCTCAGGCCTACTTGATGGGCTACAAGGTATCTGTAATGAAAGAAATCTGTTTCAATGGCAGTGGCAATAGGATCTTTGAAGGCTTCACTTAGAACTGGCAGCAATGAGATGAGTGAAAAAACTTTCTACGAATTTGGTGTACCTGCAGTGCATTAAGATGCAACATGCAGAGGTACCCATGCTGGTTTCAAAGAACAGTATGGTCACCCCAACTGAGTAACACACTGGGGCTTAATGAACTTGCCCACATACAATCTTTTCCTAAAGCAATTCACTAATTAGTGTGAGTTCTCTTTGTCTCTCTTCGCCAACACAAACCCATATAAATTAAAAAACAAACAAACAAACAAAAAAAACACAAAACACCCAAAAAACAAACCAAAAAACCATACTATTTTCCTGTCGTAGGATTCTCCACTGCTGTATGTTGTAGCTAGTGTGGATGCACATTCTTCCAGATACCATGGCTTTTTCCCACTTTCAGCTGTGCTGCTTATGGAGATCGTATAGATGCTATTTGTGTAGCCATCACAGGAGCAGTGGTCTCGACTTCTTCCACCATTTCCAGATGCCCAAACAAAGACTGAACCTAAGCCTCTTCGTCCCTGTGTGGAAACAGCACAAAAGATTTGATTAATAATTCTTCTGTTCCCCTTCATCTGCTTAACAAACAGGTCTTTTCCCAAAAAAAGACATCTGATGAGAGAAAGACAATAAAGAAACTAGCTCACTACAAAGAATCTGAAATGAAAACAGGATTTAGAAGAGTTCAGACTCAGACATCAGAAAAATTCAGAAAATGAGTGGTATGAACACAGCTTTAGAAACAGCTTTAAAACAGTGTCTGTTGCTCTGCATCTATGCTATCCAGCCATACCAAGAAAGAGATGTTGAAGACTCAGAAGCATTAAAATATCACACTGGTTTGGAAAAGGAAAAGAAATATCATACTTGAAACTAAATCCCTTTGTAATGCATTATGCCTTTCGTTTATTAAGGTGCTCTCAGCTGTTTCTGCTTGGGTTGCCTGGTGGCACCAGGTATGGTTTGGGTAACATTATACACTGTGAACCAGCACGTAATTGTTTCACAGACACTGCAAATCACAGAATCAGAGAATAGGTGAGGTGGAAGGGGACCCAAATCATCTAGTCCAAGCCATCTAGTCCATAATGAATGCTATATGCACAACACAATATATAAACAAAAATGGACAAAAATAATAGATTCTTACAAATCTATTCCAATGAAGCACTAAAGCATTAGCTCAACATGATATTTTAAACATATGACTAGCTGGGGAAGTTACTTTGGCATATTCATAATTTCAAATGAGGACTTAAAATAGGTAATCTCACCTTGACCTTTTCTTAATATGCCAAAGTTATACAGTGTCCAAACAAATTGAAACATTTTTGGTGGTTCTAGTACTTTGAAATAGGCATTGATAGGAAAACTGATCAGTTACCTGTGTTACTGATATTACTGAATTACTGATATACTGAATTAAAAGTTACTGACATATGGGTAATTGGACTTTTCTTTATTTATATTTACATATGCCATGCCAGTGAATGAAATTCAGATTCATGCAACTTTATGATCTGCATTAATTAGCAGCACTCTCTATCTGGAAGCACATTACAGGAAGCACTGTTCAGATAAAAAGGTTCACCAAAGGACTAAATTTACCTCAGATTAAATTAAATTGTGTCACTGACATGACATTATCTCAAAGCATGGGACATCCCTCTCAGTCAGAATTATGCTAACAGTCTTATTCATACCTCATTTGCTTGCAACTTATCATGTATGTATGATAAATTAATATTATAATACATAATACACGACTTTCTGTGCATGAATTAATTGCCTGGCCATTGGAAGAGTTTGTGTGTTATTTTTTTTTCTAAACAGACTGCAACTGTGTACCACAAAAAACATGAAGACAGCTGTTGGACATCTACCAGGTCAACTTAAAACAATTAGCAATTCAGAGATTCATTTAATCCACATGCTTAGAGGGGTTTCACTAGGGCTTTTTGTGCTGAGCATAACTGAACATGCACCAACATAAGACAAAAAAAACCCTCACAGTTCACCATCCAGACTTGAGTTTTCAAACATTGATGAATTTCATTTTGTGAGCTTAATAAAAGTATACTACCTGGAGAGACTCTTCTCTCCAGCATAGTAAGTTAAATATCAAATTCTCTTGGGTAGTGTTTATATAAGGTTATGTCTCCAAAATGCAACTTTTCATTAAAGAAACATTTCAAGCAGAGAAAAAAAAATCCCAGGGTGCCAAGTTAGATGTATTATGATATCCACATTTTCCAGAGAAAATCAGTCTGCCCAGCCAGCAAGTATAAATATTTCAACTTCTTTTACTTCCTTTAGTTGATCTTAGCTACTACTCTAACAAAAAGACGCAAAATAGTAACATTTCTTGTTGTTTTAAAGACAACTTTTATGAAGTATTACAAGTCCCCTTCCCCACTTTATGAACTCTCACCAAATCAAACCCCCCTTTCGGTTTGGGGTTCTTGTTCTGCCTGCTTTTCTCAGACAGCAGGGTCTGATTCAGAGCTTCCCAAACCCAGTGGGATGTGTTTTGCAATTTCATGGAGCTGGAACTGGTCTATGAACCAATTTTCTTTCATTTTATGATCCAGTCATGTCCCTTTGTATAACTTTACTTCTTACCCACCATTCTGAAAACATCCAATGAGACAGATTAAAGGAAGGGTAAATGGAAAGATTATTTCGTGCATATTCACTGATTTATTATCCCAGCAGGTAAGTGAGACAGAAATTAGAACCCTCTGTATGTTGTGGGGAATAGGATAGAGGATCATGCTAAAGATATGACGATTCACTACTTTCTGATGTGCTCCTGTTTGACTTTTACTGGTTTTGGTTTGGCTTCATCCTGTTATCTCTTGCAGTTAGATCACGCTTCCCAGCAGTATTTTATTATTTGCTTTCAGTGTCTGTCTCCTCAATGGTCAGTTTTGGCTTGTTTGTCAATTCTGACATCTGTTTCAGTCATGTACAGATTCCTGTCTGTCCTATACTGTCTTTAAAAAACAGCTTCTCTCTCCTACACATACACAGATAACCCCAAAAATGTTAATACGTACTAAGGCAGGCAGAATACACAGAAAAAAGTGTATCATACACACTTCAACCTCCAGAACATGTCAAAATATTCCACTGAAACCTCTTTTTGATGAATTTTCACAAGTATCTGCTATATGGAGAATTTTACATTTTAATTCTTCACAGGCGTTTCTCGAAAGCGCATTATATAACTACATTTGTCCAATTCGATACCCTATGGGAAATTTGGAGTAACTTACCAATACAACCATGAGAGAAGAAAGGAGAATTTGAGTAATCAAACCACAGACCCAAGGAGGAGGAAAATGGAATCCAACTACCAATATTTTATCTAAAAGCCCATCTTTCACTTTTTAAAAAAACAGTTTTGGAAAAAAAAATTCTCAAAACCATATGCATACAGGAAAATATCCCATCAATAACAGTCCATCTGTCAGTTTTCTGCTGTCACCATCAGCTGGGTTTGCCTGCACACAGCAGTAGAATATTGTTTGTCCCACCCATGCAATGAAAACCTCTTCACAGCAGAGTAGGATTGTAGTTTGTGTAAATTTTGCAGGAGTAACCCTTGAATTATTAGCTTCTCTGCACATAGACTGTGTCTGTATTTCTTTAGATGCATACTTATGCTGCTGTACTAACAATGAAAAATGAGCTGCAGACACAGATATGTGAATCCATTTTCAGACACAAAATGTAGTCCTGACGAAAACATGACAATGCATGTTACAAATTCTGCAATGCGGTATTTAAAAATAATAAACACCAATTTAGATTTTAATAATAATGACAGGGCTTTAAAAATAACAGCTGTTTGCACCCAACTATACCCTTTCATGCTGTTTTTTGTAAACAATAACAAATATTTCTTCAAAACTAATTTCTCTTGAAAATATGTGAAGTATCAACATCTCTGTTATTGCAATAAAAATATAAGTCCCAAGTGTACTGACTAATGGAAAGAAGTATTTTCTAATATACAAAGAAAGAATTCCCATTCCTCTAACACACTGCAACACCGCACATTTAACAACTCCGCGTTTCACAGAAAACAACTGCATTACCTTCAGTCCAGAAACATGCTAAAGATCTTGTTCCTAGAAGCTTTTTGGCAAAGCAAATGGCAGTCTTAAAAAAATAAATAGAATAAGCAAACCTCCAAACTAATTTCAACCTGAGTAAAATAATGTGTCAAGTAAGTAAGTTCTGGCTTACATTTACTGCCTATTGTTAAACTACCATTTGGTTTCCACCTTCTCCCTGGTTCCAAACACCCTGTTTTATTTCAATAGACCCAGTCATGCTCCGGAAATTATAAACTTGCAAGTAACTATACCAAACAAGTAATTAGAGCAATAGCATCAGCTGTCCTACTGTATGTGAATGCCATGCCCAATTGGTCTCCTTTGAATACATATGATTAAATAACATTTGGACTGTGTTACAAAGTTAAGATAAACACACATGCAAGCCACTCCGTAGCTTTTACTGTTTGCCTAAATCTATCACCTGTCATCTGCCAGATGCCCAAGGGTGTCAAGATGAAAAGTCAATCCTTGAGCTGTCAAAGAAGCCATGTGTCGTTTATTAATCGGAAGCAAAAGTACCTTTACAAAACATATGGGTACAACTAGAGCAAAATTTAAAAGAGTTAGTGAACTATAGCAGAGGCTATAGACCAGGGTGGAATGGTGTGCCACAAAGTACGTCCAGTGCTTGTCTCATGATGTTAAAAATGCATTACCTCTCCGTCTAGGTACAGTGCTGTTTCTGATTTTCCATTTGCAATGATAGCCATGGACTCCCTCTTACAAACTCTGCAAGGTGTCTGTAACTGCACTTGTGCTTGTCAGTGCACATTTGAGACCATTATGAAATGTTCTCCTTTTGTTTTGTTTATTTCTTAAATTGCACAAATCAATTGCAAAAATAATCAAGTGTTCCATTATGGAAAAGAGAAACTCTTTCACTAACGGCTAAGACTTGCTATTGACCTAGTCACAGTCCAATTTCCTAGCACATTTTCTGGTCAAAGCCAGCGTGCTCAACAGACAGCTGACCTTGAATGAAATGGTCTCAGATCGTTGACAAAAAGGCCCCAAGGCAGAAACTGCACCTGTAAAAGCACAGCACAAGAATGTGAGGGCATTCCCACTTATTTTTTGCTACTGCCTCCTTTTCCTTGGTCAGCAAGCTGCAAGTAGGGCAAGTGATATGAAAGCTCCTATTTTTTTTTCCAGTTTGAAAGCACGGAAGTCTTGGCAGTTAGTCTGCCAAGAACCAGAGCCAGTATGAACATGTTCATAATGACATCTGCAGAATTTCCTAACACTATTAAAAGAACATCCCCTGCTCTAAGTGCGTGCACTTGTGTATATGTATGTGTATACATATAAACCACAACTTTATGAATGAATGCTTTAGAGTACATGCAGGAACCATTATAAGGTAGAGGTCTTCACGCATTCATCTAAGGACAACC